AGATCTTGTCATTTGTGTAGTGCATTAAAGCTCAATGAGGACAGTAGGACCAAAAGCACTTGAGTCACTCAAAGCACTGAGCAGCAGCACATGGGAGATGGTAAAGGCTTTGGAAACTAGGGGATGGCAGTCCTCTGGTCTAGAAGCATGAAATGTTCTTTCCACTGAATAGGTGTGGGGGAGAGGCTCCAGACTCACTGACTATTTTAGGATTGACCAAAGGTCAAAAAGGAGCACTTTAGAAGTTTCTAGAAGGGACTTGGGTAAATTTGGCTTGGAGGGATGCTACTTATCTCCCTGCAAGGGGTTAGGTTTGGTCAGTTGAAACTGAGGAGTTTAGGCCTGCAGATGAGGAAGATTTAACATGTGCTTGAAAGAAAAAACAGACACTGAAATCTCTCTCTCTTTCCTCTCAAAATTAGAATTTTATTTTCTCCAGCTAAACTGCACTATCATAACATCTATAAAAACAAGCATTAAGAGGGAAGACTGTGTAACAACATTAAACCCAAAGCAAAGCAGGTAAGTGGAAGCCTTAGGAGCTGTATCCACTCTGCTTGAGCTGGCTGGTCCTGGGAGTAGCTTAAAGCCCTCCTGGCTCCTGAGATTCATTACTGAATTTGGTGTGTGTAGAGATTACAGCTGCCTTCTTGAACAGGTTTATATGAGTGCTGACCTGGACATTCATACAGGTAGATGGTTGGGTCACAAACATAACTCTAGGTTCAACTCTCCTGTATCTGTAAAGTCTATAATGTCTATGTACCCCAAATTTTCCTCCTCAGCCCTCAGTTTCTCCCCTTCCTGTAGGGTTCTATCCTTCAGCCTTTAAGTCCTAGGGCACTTCATGCAGTGGGTTGGCAGTTTGGCCTCAAACCCAACCTGGACGTTACTCCTCCACTGCAGAGTAATCTGAAGGTCTGGAAGAAGCAGGAGTCTTGTAGGAAAGGGGTGAGGGACCCACCTTCCACTGAAAAGGTGAATTTTGAATCTGTAAGGCACTTTCTGAATATCTGAGAGCTTTTCCCTCGCAGGAAAGGACAGAGGAGTGACAAAAGACAATACAGAAAACTTCCTCCACTATCTGAGATACTGTACAATGTTACAAGGCTTTCATGTTGCAATTTATGAAGTTGTACCTCCATGGAACCTTACTGTAAATTTCTTTTCAATGTACACTGAAAATGCCATGTACTAGCAGAAGCTATTCAACTGTTGTATAAAGCTATACATTTATCCTGCCCTTTGATGTGGCCACAGTCACTAGCTGCAATTCAATGGGCTATGAGTAAGGAGGAAAAAATATCCAGTATACTAGTGAGCGATATTTCTTTAGTGCCAACCTACTTTATCAATTAATATACTTAACCACAAATACTGGACTGTTTGCAGTCTCACAAATAACATAAAGGACTTAAATTTTGAAACTGTTTTGCAGGATTTTGAACCCGAAGCCTGCAGTATTTAAAAAAATGATCAAGCTGTGCCTTGTAGCAGCCTATAGTCTACTAACACAGAGAGGACAGATTGTTAAAATAAGCATCTACATAATTTTTCACAGTACACAGTGCCACAATGCATTTGCTTAAAAACAAATACATGTTTGCAGTGAAACATTTCAACAAATCACAGAACTCAGCAGCAAAGTAGTTAAACATTTATGATTTGATTTTATCTCAGCTTGGAATGTCGCTGGAGTGTCCCACTTCTAACAACTGTTTGCTAAGTTAAGGCTTTAGTGTTTACACAGTGCTGAATGAAGCAGCCTGGTCACCAGATGTGAATGCTTCCTTAGACTACAGCTTTCAATCAGATCACGGTCCTAATGGTCCCTGCTCCAACCTTCTTCCTCAGGACGTCCACCAGCCTTTCCAACCTGAGAGGGGGCAGGGGAGAGGGAAAGGAGAGAGAAAAAAAAAGGAAGCTAATGTTAGGAATGTTCTGGCTGAAAGAGACAGTGTTTGCACTGAACCAAGCTGTCCTGGTGGTGGTCACGCTCAGAAACAAAGCACTACTGTAAAAGACAGACATTAAGGGAAAATGCAGACAACTTATGGAAAACTTTTTAACCTACAACCCAACCCATTTGCCATCAGTGATGTATATATCAACTCACTTTTCTTTTGTAATATATGTAGTATCTGAGGTCTCTGCAAGGCATTAACACAAAACCCTGTGCAGGAATCCTGTGGCACATACACACTTTGGTGTAAGAAGGACATTCAAATTTTGCACTTTTTAAAATACAAGTGGTCCATGGCTCTTGTTAAGTGTAGCACTTAGTTGTTGTTTCCTCTTAAAAATATCTTGCCATTATCCAACAGATACTTTTATAACTTTATAAATTTATGTCTAAATCACTATGTGTTTTATATCAAAACCTTTTTCAAAATACTCAAAAAGCCAAGTTTCTGAGGGTGTGGACAATGACATTTTGAAGGTGCCTGCATGATTCTTATGTTGATACAACTACAGAAAAAGTAACCATCTAAATAAGTAGGACAGAGAGCAGCCTAATCCTCTCTTAATTTTAAGGCACAGACTATATATAACCATGTTCAGGTTCACCAGCTTAATTTGTTCTTCCCTTTTGTGAACGTATGTAGGCAAATGAAAAGGACTAAAATTTTTCGGTGTTTTCCGTCTGCACACATTTATCTTCATCACACACCAGTAACATTTATCTTCATCACACCAGTAATTATGCATTTCAGCTCTTTCTTCAATTTGTCTGTATTTTATGGAATCCTTCAATGAAAGCTCTCCCACAAATAAACTATCTGTATAAAAGCAGATGCTGTATGTAGCAGAACACTTTCAGAACCATGTCCAGAATGTGAAACACACAACTTCCACAATGGCTAAAAAGAGATGCAGATTCAAATACTGTATTCAGTTTCACAAAGTAGACCATTTTGTCTTATTTGAAAAGAGAGTTTTGTTTCTTTATTTAAAATTCATTATATAACATGAGAAATGCATATAGGAAACAAAAATAGCACAGCTTTATCAAAATTGCAAAATTCACTTTATCTCATGGTTGCATTACTAACTTCAACGCAGGTAAACTAGTTAACATGGATTTATTGCCACAAGTCATGACTAATGCACTTGGTACGTATTGAAACACTCTTGTTTTCCAGGAACCACCAAGCACTATGAAGCTACACCTTTCATTGTACTCACCAGGTGACTTAATTCCTAAAATGAGATTAAGAATTCACCACCCAAATGTAATCATCAGACACCAGGAAATGTGTGTGGAAAGTTCAGCTAGTTTTAGCTGTTCCACAGGGACGCGTAGGGAGTGAAAGCACAGGTGAAAAACTACTGCTCAGGTACCCCTCTCTGTTCTGTTTTCCAACAGGGACTTTTCCTTCTTAACTAACTAGTGCATTTTTCAAGGTTTTGTAACATACATCTACTGCACTTCTCCGTCTTTATGGAGGCAGCACCCAGACAGCCACAACTCAGTTTAGTCAGTCCTTGCAAGTATAAAGTCAGAGATTTCACAAGTTATTTCTTCCTGAAATTTTCTCACAGTGGGTAAATCAATGTTTCCTGAGTTTTAAGGTTTTAAACTCAGTTACTGATAGGTCACAGTTTCCTCAGTCTCTCTTACTGGGAAGTTTCCCTGTTACATCAGTTGTCAGTCCATGTACAACTTCAGGAAGCAATGACAGATCAGTCCTCTACACAGCATGTATATTCAGAAGCATTGCTTTCTTAGCCACTTTAACTATTGCTGGAGGTGTCTTTCACACTAGCACCCTATGTGATGTGCTTCAGAGACAAAAAGCACTGGAGAAACATTTCAAACTGTTTGGACAAACAGAAGGGGCTGAAAATTGTTTTTTGGGAGACAGCATAAAAATAGTAAAATCTGACATCATGACTTATTTAAATCACTGTTCAGTTAGAAAGAAATATTGCATGGCTTATACAAGGAGGGGAAAAATTACTTCAGTAATTGAGGTTCCTTTTGGGGAGACACAGGTTGGAGGTCACTGCTTACACACTGTCCTGCCACTGGGCTTAGATGTGCACCACTCTGTGACCAAGTAATGGCACTGCACACCTGAGCAGAACAAGTTAGCAAAGAGCTGCCCATGTTTGAAGAGAAATACCACTGGGATGAAAGTAGCTGTCTTCTGTTTAACTTTGAAACTGTCAGGCTTCATTGAAAATAATGAGGCTTAACAATCATAGCTTCTCCTTTCAAATGAATGATGACTGAAATCATCAAAATGAGGTATTCCTCACCAAATACATGCAGGGCTTATTTGCCTTTTGTTTCAGTCATGTGTGGATTTGCAAATTTATTTATTCTTTATCAGAAGAAAAAAAGTAGCAGTGGATTAAGACACTGTACCTTTGAAAGAGATTTAAACAATAATGTAATAGAGAAACTCTAACAGCTATTTATAAAATAAAAAACCAGAGGGCAAAATTTACCCCTACACAGACACAAGACCCAATATACCACTGCAATCCCACTTAAGCCTACAAAATAATGCTATGGGCTGAATCAGTGGTTAATAACTCTTGATACAGGCCTCAGGGGGCTTTTCGGAATGATAATCCTAGACTCTTTGTTCACCGAGGGCCCAACTCTGCCATCCCAACTCACACTAAGCAACATTTTTCTTTGTGAGCAATAAAAGGCAGATAAAAAGGCCATTTGTGCCAATGAGGTGTCACCTGTGAGGGGTGAGGGTGGCAGAGTCACCCCTCGCTGATAAGGTGATGCTGCAGGCAGCTCCTTTTGGAGACTGAGCGTTTTTATCTGTGGAAAACTGCAGCAATAGTCTCAATACCTCAAGATCAAAGGTAACCTAAGTATCTAAACAGAAGAAGGGAATAGGCGCTGAGAACTACCCAAAGTCTCAGTGTATGTAGAGTTTTATTCAAAATATGGAAGACACTGACCTGAAGAAAGCAACTTCTGTTACTTTGTGCAATTATGATATAACTGTCAGTATAATTTCACCAAATTTTACTTAACTGAGAGCAGCACTGATTGTTTGATTGTACCCTAAGACAAAGACTTAAGAAATGAGATTTGTCTTTTTGCTGGTGAAGAGTCCTCACAGTATATATTAAATGGGCAATACGACACCGTGCCTCCTGAGATGTAAGTACAGACACTCACTGAATTTTCATCTCATGAAGCAACCAAACAAGTCATTCAAGAAGAAAGTATTTGCATTCATATTTTAGATCAGACAGAAGAATGATATGGTAGGTGGGTCACTCTGTTGCAGCGCTGAGGGTCCAAATGTGCAAGGACAGAGACACACCTTGAGGAATGTTTAACAAAGTCTCTTAAGAGCTCACTCCTCATTCTCAGATTTCAATTTCTTGCTTAGAAATTTTGGAAAATCCCAGTAGGTGACCTTCATTATTTCTTGGTACTCCAATAGTTCTAGAAAATCTGTCCTGTAACAAATAAATCCTCTTAACAAATGTCACTTCAGCATTGTCTACGCAATTACTGTATGCCTGTGTGCAAAGTGAGTAAAGATCTGACATATAAAATACAGGAAAAAACTATGGATTCAGATGGATAGGTACAACTTCAGTTTTATTTATACTGATTTGCATATATCCCAAGTAAAAAAGTCCTGTACTTTTCAGGATACCTGGAATTTACATCCATGAAAAGCACAATGATGAGGGCTAGAAATATTCTTTATCTACACTACGTACTTCTGTAACACTCAGCTCAGTGCTTCCATGAAATGGAAAAATAAACCCCTCCCCACAAATTAGGAAAGGGACATCTAGCCTGTCATTCTTTGTAGGTTAGCGAAAGATGCATCATTGTGAAAAGTCTTGAATTCCAGTGCCTTAATGCTTCCTCTATACAAATTCGGAATTAAGCAGGTGAATGTATGTTCTAATAAAGAAATAAGATTTTCATGAGGGGCTTGCTGCTCTGATAATACCAGTTTTATCACGTCCTTTAAAATGTGTTGCTAAGCTTGAAGAAGATCCTCATCTTCTGAGGAACACTACCTAAACAGGAACATTCCTTAGATGTGTCTTGCCAAGACAAATTCTCAACTCCTCTTCCAATTATTTCAAATTTTGTTCCCTTATTGCCTATGCACACAGATGACAATGCCTGGATGGAGTGTGTGTTTTTGTATGTTCTTACACAGCTCCTGAACTGCCTGACAATCGTTTTGATATTTAGCAAAGCCTTGCAAAGCTTTACTTCTGTGACTAAAACCAATTTTGGTTTTAGAATCAGTTGGCTTGATCTCCTCCTTCATGTATTCTGCTGAAGAAGTCTAGCTCTTATCTGTAGCTTGGGATCAGTAAAACCTCTGCCTCTGTGTAAATTCACACAGATTGCTCCATCTCTGACCAAAGGAACTCATCCCAAAGGACAACAGTGGTCTTTATCCACAAGTTCTGAATATGACAGTTACACAGTCACAGTGTGATCTTCCAGTGAAATGTGCCCCAGAAATAGACAAAATGGATACCAAACTGACAGAAAAGGGCATCCCTCAAGTAGCCTATATTCTAATCTGCAAAGCAATATACGGGCTAGCTGAAAACAATAGTTTCTACCTGCAGATGGAGGAGTTAAGTGATAAAAACAAAACAGTCCTGGAATTTGAAATGCTATATAAAGGCTTATAAACCTAAACTATAACCCTTGGTTATCTTTCCAGTAGATAAGATTAGGCTCAGGCTATGAAGATGGCCTTCCTTGCCTGACTTCTGGCTTCTTGTGGAATGTGTTTTGCTAACACTAATTCCCTTTAGAAACCAAGCATTTGAAAATATATTACGTAAATAAAATGCATTGGACAAAAGTATAACAAGCAGTTTAGCAGTAGAACTCAATGAGTGGTCATAGAA